GTCTAAAAACTGACGCGTCGGTCGCTGAATTACTTCTAGACAGGAAACTTCAACGGTAATTCTGAATGCGCACAAGGACTGTCGCTGTATTTCTCTTCCCTTAAAAAAATCCTCTATACAACCTTTAATGCCCGTTAAATCAAGTATTTGTTCAATATTGGCCTCACAATGACACCGACTCAAGGTAAAGGTAAAGTTCTGCAGTGATACGAGTGACTGAAACTGTCATTTAAACCACCAAAGTCCAAACACAATGGAAACACTTCATATTTACACGTCACAGTGGCCGCAGCATCTTGGATTCTGACTCGGAATTCTTGCTCGGTCGACTTTTTCCGCCACCGAGTTCTGAGTCGCGCCATCCCAGGAAAAGCGGCGTGTTACGTGTGTGGCTAGGCAACTTCCTCGGAAAACCGATTCGGAAGGAAAATCGAACACAGAGTAAATATATAAATTATTTTACCTGGAATAAGTCATAAGTGCGTCTCTGTGATTGGTTAATCCACCTGTCAATCATTCCCTCTGAAATCAAGGAGACAGAACCCGGCTCCAGATCCACTCCAGGTCTTTGTCTTTGTGGTTTTGACTGGACAGGTAAAAAAAAGTCCTGGGTCTTTAGTCTCAGAGTGAGACCGGGACAAAGATATTTTTTTCCATTTTTAAATCTGAGACAGAGACAGGAGAAGGTTTTAGAAAAGCACTTTCACGTTCACAACTTTATAAGACGAAAACAAACCGTGCAGTGGACCCCAGGCTCCAGCGAGCACCGAGAACAAGAACAAAGATAAAAAATTAAAAAAAAAACTGATATGTTTTACAATGACATTCACTGAGAAAACTCATGACACATTTACCCTGAAAACCTTAAAAAGAGCTCGGCATTTCATCCGGGGGCGGGACTTCAGAAGCTACTGTAACCATGGCAACGCTCTTTTAAACAGTGATTTCTATTCAGATTTACCTAAAACTAAAACCAAAAACACATTCAGTTTTATTTTTATTTTCTACTACTTTGCATTTGTGGTTTATTTTTGTCGATACATCTTTTTAAACTTTAGGGTTTTGGGAAAGTTTTGCAGTTTCGAATCTTGGAAAAACTGAGCTGCAATTTTTTAGACATTAGACAAAAATTATAAAAAATAAATAAGGTTATTAAATCCGTGTGTCATTCGTTAATTCGTTTTTCAAAATAAAAACAAAAATAAGAAAACAAAAAAACTTTTCTTCATTACTAAACCAGGTCCGGGACAAGACCGGGACCAGACCAGCACTGAGTCCGGGACCAGGACTGAGACCAGGACCAGACGTTGATTGAGATTAGAACTGAGACCGGAACTAAGTCCAGAACCAGACTGGGAAAGGACTGGGACGGGTCCGGGACCAGACCAGGACCAGACCAGTACTGAGTCCAGGACCAGGACCAGGACTGAGACCAGGACTGAGAACAGGACCAGACAGTGATTGAGACTGGAACTGTGACCAGAACTGAGACCAGAACCAGACTGGGACTGGACTGAGACCGGGACCAAACCAGGACCAGATGCTGATTAAGACTGAAACTGAGACCGGAACTGAGGCCAGAACCAGACCAGGACTGAGACCGGGACCAGACCGGGATCGGACTGGGACCAGGACTGAGACCAGGACTGAGACTGGGACCAGACCAGGACTGAAAACAGTTTAGTCCTGTTTTAGTCCTGTTTTAGTCTTGGTTCAGTCCTGGTTTAGTCCGTTATCCGTTTTTTCCATTTTTCATTTAAACACAAAATCGAAAACTGAAAAAAACAAATCATCTGTTTTTTTCATTTTGGTTTTGGAGACAAATAATGAAGAAAACTGTTTTTTTTTTGTTTTTTTTTTCCTTTTTTTTTTTTGCTTTTATTTTGAAAAATTGAATGAACAAACGACACACAGATTGTATTAGTTAACTGTATTTGACAAATCACAAAAATTACTGTCAACGTCTATGAACCTTAAAAATGTCTGTAATTACTAGAAATGTAACAATATCCAAATCTCACGATACGATATTTATCACGATATTTTGAAGAGCCTAATATAATTTAATAATATAACAACTTTTTTGCTTTTAAAATACCTCGACAAGATTCTGGTGTGAATTATTTCCGTCATAATCCCAAGAATTCAAGTCAAAAACATATTTCTTCATGTTGTCTGCGCTGAAATGAATCATGGGATATGTAGTTTTTGATATTTATTAACTGTTCCTCCTATAAAACCATGTATTTAAGCAAAGAAACTTGTAATTCGATATTATTGTGAGACTTTTGATGATACGATATCACGATATTTCGGTTATTGTTCCATCCCTAATGATTACAACTCGATTACGACCTCAACTCGCTCTCTAACTTTGACCGACACGGAACGCAAAGCCCCGCCCCTTCACGAAATGCCGAGAATTTTGTCCCAATCGAGTCGCGCGAAAATGTCTCGTCGTCTTCTGATCGGTCGATGCAGTTCGTTCGCTTCGTTTGTAAATGCTACATCTCTACATGGGATATATAATAATCATAACAATCACAATAATGTCCCAAAACAAATAATATAATAATAATAATAATAATAATAAGTTTTCTACCAGTTCCGAGCGTGAAGAAGTGGATTGGAAGGGCATCCGATGTAAAAACTCTGGCGAATCAATATGCAAATCATGTAAAAGCAGTTCGTCCCAGTTTCCAGACTTGTGTTCTGTCGTTGTGTCCTTAGGCAAGACACTTCTCCCAGTTTGACGTTTGAGGATTGTAGATAAATGCCACTTCTCCGTTAGATCTGTCCACAAAGCAACACCGTGAATAAATAACAAACTTAAATATTATACAGTTGTTTAAAAAAAAATTCCACAATCTTTTTTTTTTTTTTTTTCACCGTAATAGACCTTTATGTTTTTTAAGCGATAGCAAAGGCAACTTAACTTGACTTTAGGTGGAATTTTTCTGCTACGGCTCGTCTCCATGGAGATTTTATTGAATTGTCTAGAATGTTCCACACTTGTCACGTTTACGTTCGGAATAAAAATGAATTTCGGTTTTTTTTTAAAAAAAATCCGTGTATCATTCGTTCATTTGTTTTTCAATATCTGGGACCAGAGCGAGACTGAGACCGGGACCAGACCGAGACTGAGATCAGAACTGAGACCGGGACCAGACCGAGACTGAGATCAGAACTGAGACCGGGACCAGACCGAGACTGAGATCAGAACTGAGACCGGGACCAGACCGAGACTGAGATCAGAACTGAGACCGGGACCAGAGACTGAGATCAGAACTGACCAGACCGGGACCAGACGAGGAGACCAGACGAGAGAACTGAGACCGGGACCAGACCGAGACCGAGACCAGACCGGGACCAGACCGAGACTGAGATCAGAACTGAGACCGGGACCAGACCGAGACTGAGATCAGAACTGAGACCGGGACCAGACCGAGACTAGACCAGACCGAGACTGAGATCAGAACTGAGACCGGGACCAGACCGAGACTGAGATCAGAACTGAGACCGGGACCAGACCGAGACTGAGACAGAACTGAGACCGAGACTGAGACCGAGACTCAGAGAGACTGAGAGACAGAGACTGAGACCAGACTGAGACCGAGACCAGACTGGAACCAGACCGAGACTGAAATCAGAACTGAGACGGGGACCAGACCGGGACCAGAGCAGGACTGAGACCGAGACCAGAACCAGAACCAGACCGAGACGGAGATCAGAACTGAGACCGGGACCAGACCGAGACCGAGACCAGACCGGGACCAGACCGAGACTGAGACCAGACCGGGACCAGAGCAGGACTGAGATCGAGACCAGAACCAGACCGAGACGGAGATCAGAACTGAGACGGGACCAGACCAAGACCAGGGACCAGAGCAGGACTGAGACCGAGACCAGACCAGGGCCAGACCGGGACTGAGACTGAGACCAGGCTGGGACCAGACCAGGACCAGACCAGGACTGAGACTGAGACCAGGCTCGGAGTCCGCTCTGGTCCCGCTTTGGTCCCGCTCTGGTTCCGGTCTGGCCCCGGACCTGGATCAGTCCTGGTTCAGTCCGTATGCGGTGCAAAAGTCCGACATCGTAGTCACGGAAGTCACGTATCCGTTTTTTCCATTTTTCATTTAAACACAAAATCGAAAACTGAAAAAACTAATCATTATCTGTTTTTTCATTTTGGTTTTGGAGACAAATAATGAAGAAAATTGTTGTTTTTTTCATTTTCTTATTTTTGGTTTTATATTGAAAAACGAATGAACGAATGACACACAGATTTAAAAAGACCACGTAAACACTTCATTCCTAAAGAAATTGATTATTCGGAATTAAACTTAAGTGGGTGGTTTATTCCAAAGGAGGCAGTGGCGGGGGGAGGGGGCGGGTGTGAAGCGTTTTCTACTTCGTCAAACGCGTCATAGGTGAATCTGCCGCGTCATCGATGTATCAGCTTTAGTTTGTTGTCACGTGGCAAAAATACGCTGCAATTTGTTAAAAAAAAAAAAGCCAAATCAGCCTAAAAAACACGACAAATACAAGGCCCACACATCACTCTTAGAAGGTAGAAAGCTCTGGAAAGTTGATTTTGCACGAGATGGGCCCTTTAAATAAAGATTATTTAACGAATTTTCCACTTAAACCTCAATTCGGAATTTCCACGTAAACTCAAAAAACTAAATTTGAATTCTGAACAAATAATTCAGAATTTAAAAACATCATGTAAACGTGACCAGACAGTTATTTTTATTATTTTTGACAATAAGTGAAATGCTAAACTGTGGAACATTCCAAGTAAATCAGTAACATCTCCATGGCGACAAACAGAATGTGGAAAAGTTACGTAGCATATCTTTAATTCCCTCTAAATGATTACATGTTACAATCTATGGTATTCCCGTAGATGGAAGTAAACTTTTGATTATCGTATGTTTTTATTATTTGCACAGACGCTGCTTTTTAGCGCTTAGCCTTTAGCATTTTAGCGAGTAGCTTTAGCACGTAGCCACCGAGCTAACCGTCGTGTAGCTAAACTTGGACATGGACGTCGCCATGGAGGTGGCCGTGGACATGGCGGTGAACCCGTCGTCGTGGTGCTCCTTTTTCCGGTTGCAGATCCGATGGTTGCAGAGGCAGGAGAAGGTGGAGAAGAGCGCTTTCCGGAACCGCGTGTTCATGAAGCAGTAAATGACGGGATTGACGCACGCCGAGGTGTAAGACAGCAGGTGGATGAAGGAAATGGGCGCGCCGGATAAAGCTTTCATGATCGTTTTCGGGTCGAACGCCTTCCAGGTGTTGACGATGTACAGCGGCATCCAGCAAATGAAGAACAGAGCCACGATGACCATGAGCATGCGCACGACGCGGCGTTTCGCTTGGAGCTTGGCCTGGGAGGTGTTGCTACGCGCGCGCTCGGTTTTGCCCGCGTTGGCGTTGGCGTTGGCGTTGGCGTTTGCGGAGAGGGTGGGCATTTCCACGGAGGAGGGCGTCTTCTTCTGGATGTAGCAGCCGTCGTCGTCGTCGGACATCATGGGGCGGGCTGCACCGTTCTGCTGACCTGCAGGGGGAGACAGAGAGACACTGTTAATGAAGATGCAGTTTGTTTACAAGTGAACTGAGCGGGTTTTTCAACGTACAGTGTCCCTCGTTTGTCGCGGAGGTTACGTTTTAAAAATAACCCGTGATAGGTGAAATCCGCGAAGTATCAACTTTATATTTTACAATTATTCTATCTGTTTTAAGTCTGTAAAACCTCTCAGCACAAACTTTATACACTTTTCTCTCAACACTTTTTACTTCCATCTTAAAACTTATCGCTGCTGTCGTCCTTTTGTTATTTTTCTTCTTCTTTATGTAACAAACTGAAGATTAATTTATTCTGTAATGGAGCCAACAGCGCAGAGTCCTGCATGAGTCCATTTTTTGGAGACACGCACCCGCGCAGGACAGGACCGCACCTGCCCCTTTAACCCGAGATTATATCAAAGTTTTGCACTGCCTACGCCACGAACTGAACCAAGACTAAACCAAGACTAACCCAGGAATAACCTAGGACTAAAACAGGACTGAACCAGGACTCTTGATCTTGGACGGCTCAGCTCCTCCAAATCTGAGGTCGTGGTTCTCGACCGGAAAAAGTTGTCTTGTCGTCTCCGGGCGGGTGGAGAGTCCCTGCCTCAAGTGGAGGAGTTCGAGTATGTCGGGGTCTTGTTCTCGAGTGAGGGGAGGACGGACGGAGCGTGAGATCAGATAAATACTCTTGACATTTCCACAGACATTTGGGCACAGAAAACCATTAACCTGAAGTGACGTTTACCCGACATCGTGACACTTCGGGCCGTTATGAAAAAGGTCTATACAATAAATAAATATGTTTAATGCAACACTGCTACTACCGTATTTTCTGCACTATTAGGCGCTCTGGATTATGAAATAGAATTCTCTATTTTTTTTTACTTTTTTCACAAATAAACCACACCGGACTTTATGGGACTGAGACTGAGACCAGACCGAGACTGAGATCAGAACTGAAACTGGGACCAGACCGAGACTGAGACTAGACCGGGACAAGGCCAGGACCAGACCAGGACTAAGACCGAGACCACACCGGGACTAAGACCGGGACCAGGCCGAGACCAGACCGGACGCTCAGAGCCCACGGCAGGGCCGGAGCTCGAAGCTGAGACTCAGACCCCGCGGAGGCTTGGAGTCAAAGCTCGGAGTCCACCCTGGTCCCGGTCTGGTCCCGGACCTGGATCAGTCCTGGTTCAGTCCGTATGTGGCGCAAAAGTCGGGCATCGCAGTCATGGAAGTCACGTAAACGGGAAACAGCCGTTATCCGTTTTTTTTTTTTTCATTTAAACACAAAATCGAAAACTGAAAAAACAAATCTTTATTCAGTTTTTCATTTTGGTTTTTGAGACAAATAACGAAGAAAACTGTTGTTTTGTCGTTTTCTTATTTTTGGTTTTATATTGAAAAACGAATTAACGAATGATACATGGATGGGGCGCTCTGGATTGTGGCGCGCGGTCGTTTTTTGATGCGGTTGGAGGCTTAAGATTGTGACCTAGAGCCCGGAAAATATGGTACTTCTACTGTTACTATCACTGTTAACTACAGTAGCTCAGTCGGTCGAGCGTTTCTCCACTGATCTGAACGTCGGCCTTTTCACATCCTGCTCTCCACATAAACATGTTTGGCCGAGCGCTTGGATCCACTGACCCACAGATGATCGCTGTTGTTGTCCTTGGGCGAGACACTTAACCCCCCCTCGCCCCCAGAGTCTGCGCACACCGGTGTATGAGTGTGTGTGTGAATGTGTGTGTGAATGTGTGTGTGAATGTGTGTGTGAATGTGTGTGTGAATGTGTGTGTGTGTGTGTGTGTGTGTGTGTGTGTGAGTGAATGTGTGTGTGAAGTGTGTGTGTGTGTGTGTGTGTGAATGTGTGAGTGAATGTGTGAGTGAATGTGTGAGTGAATGTGTGTGTGAGTGTGTGAATGTGTGTGTGAATGTGTGAGTGAATGTTGTGTGAATGTGTGTGTGTGTGTGTGTGTGTGTGATGTGTGTGTGGTGAATGTTGTGTGTGAATGTGTGTGTGAATGTGTGTGTGTGAATGTGTGTGTGTGTGTGTGTGTGTGTGTGTGAATGTGTGTGAATGTGTGTGAGTGAATGTGTGTGTGATGTGTGAGTGATGTGTGTGTGAATGTGTGTGTGTGAATGTGTGTGTGAGTGTGTGGTGAATGTGTGTGTGAATGTGGTGTGTGTGTGTGTGAATGTGTGTGTGTGAATGTGTGTGTGAATGTGTGTGTGAGTGTGTGTGTGTGTGTGTGTGTGTGAATGTGTGTGTGAATGTGTGTGTGAATGTGTGAGTGAATGTGTGTGTGAATGTGTGAGTGAATGTGTGAGTGAATGTGTGAGTGAATGTGTGAGTGAATGTGTGAGTGAATGTGTGTGTGAATGTGTGTGTGTGTGTGTGTGAATGTGTGAGTGAATGTGTGTGTGAATGTGTGTGTGTGTATGTGTGTGATGTGTGTGTGAATGTGTGTGTGTGTGTGAATGTGTGTGTGAATGTGTGTGTGAATGTGTGTGTGTGAATGTGTGTGTGAATGTGTGTGTGAATGTGTGTGAGTGTGTGAATGTGTGTGTGAATGTGTGTGTGAATGTGTGTGTGTATGTGTGAGTGAATGTGTGTGTGAATGTGTGTGTGTGAGTGTGTGTGTGAGTGTGTGTGTGAGTGTGTGAGTGTGTGTGTGAGTGTGTGTGTGAGTGTGTATGTGTTGTGTGTGTGTGAATGTGTGTGTGAATGTGTGTGTGAATGTGTGTGTGTGTGTGTGTGAGTGAGTGAATGTGTGGTGTGAATGTGTGTGTGAATGTGTGTGTGAAGTGTGTGTGTGTGAATGTGTGTGTGAATGTGTGTGTGAATGTGTGTGTGAATGTGTGTGTGAATGTGTGTGTGAATGTGTGTGTGAATGTGTGTGTGTGTGTGTGTGTGTGTGAATGTGTGTGTGTGAGTGAGTGTGTGTGTGAATGTGTGTGTGAATGTGTGAGTGAATGTGTGTGTGAATGTGTGTGTGAATGTGTGTGTGAATGTGTGTGTGAATGTGTGAGTGAATGTGTGAGTGAATGTGTGAGTGAATGTGTGTGTGAATGTGTGTGTGAATGTGTGTGTGAATGTGTGAGTGAATGTGTGAGTGAATGTGTGTGTGAACGTTGTGTGTGAACGTGTGAGTGAGTGTGTGAGTGTGTGTGAGTGAGTGTGTGTGTGAATGTGTGTGTGAATGTGTGTGTGAATGTGTGTGTGAATGTGTGAGTAGTTTGTTGATGTAAAACGCTTTGAGCCTTGATGTTGGGAAAGTGCTGTACAAAAATGTGTGAACATTTAAATCAGATCTGGGCATTGTCCAGCTCCCAGGGCCACAAACGGTTGACTTTGTTTGACTCTGATCGGCTCGTTTAAGCTCATTTGGAATCACAAACTAAACATATTTTATCATTTTACCTCATGCATGGACTAAAGCTGCATTACTTTTATTTTAGAGCTGTTTTTTAATGACATTTTTTGTTCGGCAGCCTCACTTTTTCAAAGCTTAGTCATAACAAAAACTCTTCCCAGTCTGAGCAGCTCGTCAAAACAATGATATTTACTTATTTTTATAAACAAATACAATTAATATTATGCAGAATCCACAATATTGTCAGTTTCTCATGTTGCCCTGTGGAAAAAATAATTGCCCACTCCTGGTTTAAATGGTACACGGTGCACGGACATTATTATAACTTGTACAAATGCAAATTAAAGGCCCATTGTTTAATTGCCAAATATTGCTTTGTACTTGTATTTTTGAGTGGGTTTGACATTTTATTTTCTTTCCTACAAATAAAAAAAAACTACAATTCTAGCCGCAGTACAGATATACAGTGGTCCCTCGTTTATCGCGAGGGTTACGTTCTAAAAATAACCAGCAATAGGCGAAATCTGCGAAGTATTCAGCTTTATTTTTTTACAATTATTATATTTTTAAAGCTGTAAAACCTTTCAAGGGTATGTGGGTGTGTAGTAATTACACACGGGCAGGTCAGGAATAAACCAGGACTAAATCAGGACTAACCCAAGACTAACCCAGGACTACACCAAGACTAACCCAGGACTAACCTAGAACTGATTCCAGGACTGAACCAGGAGGACTAAATGAGGACTGAACTAGTACTAAAACAGGACTAAACCAGGACTAACCCAGGACTACACCAGGACTACACCAAGCCTAACCAGGACTAACCTCGGACTGATTCCAGGACTGAACCAAGAGGACTAAACCAGGACTGAACTAGGACTAAATCAGGACTAACCCAAGACTAACCCAGGACTAACCTAGAACTGATTCCAGGACTGAACCAGGAGGACTAAATGAGGACTGAACTAGTACTAAAACAGGAATAAACCAGGACTAACCCAGGACTACACCAAGCCTAACCCAGGACTAACCTCGGACTGATTCCAGGACTGAACCAAGAGGACTAAACCAGGACTGAACAAGGCCTAAACCAGGACTAAACCAGAACTGACCGCAGGTGAAAGGACCGGCGTAGAGCTCTGAGCCGTCGCCCGATCAGACAGACCAAACTCTACTTCGCGGGCTCGGGGTTCTCTCTCTTAAGTCCAAGATTAGTCCTGGTTCAGTCCTGGTGTAAGACTCTGCTACAGCGCCTAACTTCTACCTTCCTTCAGCGTGTCCAGAAGTCCAACTTTTTGTGCGATGGTTCGACCGTAGGAGCGTTTGTCGGTGCAGAAAGTTTCGTCGACATTGCGGAATTTGTTCGGGAAGAAGGGGGCGGAATGAAATACACAAAAAATGAAAATTGAACTAAAAAAAAAAAAGGGAAACCGCAAAAGGAGGAATGACTATTGCACGCGTAGCTCTTGAGGTCAAAATAAGTTCACCGTGTTCCATCTGCCTCTGATTTTATAAAGTGTTGTGTGAAAAACTCTTCCAAACTCATCGCGGTGAATAATGAGGACGCTCTGAACGCTTGAGGTAAGAGCGGAGGAAGAACTTT